CCGCCGTTCGCCAACCTCTCGCAAGATGAAGTGTGGCGGTACCTTCACCGCAAGACGGACTCGCTCCGACAAGCTCACCGGGGATGGGCCTTCAAAGAAGAAGGCTACGTCCGGAACGTCCGATGGAACACATCGGACGATTCCCGGATCGGTCTCGTCCGGGGCGTCTGCCTGCCGTCAATGAAGAAGGCGCCGTACACAGTCTCGGCGTGGTTCGCCAGAGGCACCGGGAGCGTCATCGGCGGCACTTGCAGCTGTGTTGCTGGGTGAGCGATATTTTGCTTATACATGCGTTAAAAGTCATGCGCAAACCTATTATAAGCAAGGCTAATTGCGTTCCGCTCACGCTATCCCCAACGCGTAAGCAGCGAGATCGGTCACTCCTTGAAACCTGGGAGCGATACCCGGTTCGCCCAGGCTCATTTCATCGAATACACGCGAGTTACATTGGCCAAGACAAACCCCATCGTGCTATGCTCCGTTTCACCTTATGTTGTACCGCAGCGACGGCTAGAAGCGCGAGCTCATAGCGTTGGCAGTTGCCCTTGGTGCACGGGAGCTTGTGCCGCCGAGATGTGCCATAGAGCAAGGAGCTCGCGCGTATAGCCTTTCCTGCGGTACAACACAAGGTGAAAAAGAGTATAGCAGCAAACTCATGTGGTTTATCGCTCATGCTCGCAGTGCTTGCTGCGAGCATGAGTGATAAACCACATGAGTTTGCTGCTATACTCTTTTTCACCTTGTGGCTTAGGTAGTGTAAAAGATGCATGTCTCCATCATGCACCGACAGCCTGTGTACAACGAAGGCAATCAAGAGCTGTTACGCGTGCAGCTATAATCCCGCTCATTTGGTCTTGGTTGACTGCCTCGATTTTCCAGGAAAAGCCAGTCCTGCCAACATATTGCAGCACTGCTGCTCTATGCTGAAGAGAGCTGCAACGCCTGCTCGACGAGCTGCACCGACATACCCTGCACCTGGATTGTGCCTGCTGAAGGTGTGTACACTACGGCCCTTAAAGAGGCTCCATAGGAATCTTTTGCTCAGAAATATGTTATTACTTCGTACCTAATATATTGGAGAATAAGACCAACGTCGAAGCTGTCTTAATTATTTAGCCAAGCTCACCTCCATTGCTAGATAAATGTGGAACCAAACAGCCAATGCTTTTTGTGTTCGTCTTCATGAAAGTGAAACTCTACATTTTCTACATAAAGCAGCTTGGATGATAAGCTATTAACATGATTACAAGATGGAAAACCTAGATGTGGCTTATTTTAGAACTGAACTGACAAAATTTCTCTTTGCAGCCAAGAAGCCTGCTCCCCTGGTGCCACTTGCAGACATCACGTTCCACAAGTACCTGATCAACAGGCCGGTGAAGCAGAAGAAACGACGCTCTTTTGACCCTTGTGAGAATGTTGGTGTTGCTTCGGCTGAGGAGATTCAGCAACTGCGAGATGCCCTCAGTGTGTCTACACCGGGCCTCCAGTGGCTTCTGTACAGTGGTGTACAGCAACTTGGACCAGCGGCACCAGTGCTCCCCATCCAAGATGATGAAGATTTGTGGAGTGAGAATGCCCGGGACGTTGTTGAGAAACACATGGAGTCCCTTCCAACATTGACGGAGGAAGAAAGGGAACAAGTGACCCGGTCCACCATCGGTCAAGCCAATAATCCAAGGTGGCACAAAGAGCGGCAGGGCAGGATTACAGCATCAGTCTTCTCTGCTGTCATCAAGTGTGTCAAGCCCGAGTACCTGGTCAAGGGTATTTCGTACCCGAGCCCAGATGCCTCAAGTGAGGCCATGCGCTATGGGAGGACGCACGAGGGTACCGCCGTCTCAGCCTACGCATCACTCATGGCAGCATTCGACACTCCCGTCGAGATCCGCGAGACTGGGCTGCACATTCACCCAGAGTGCAGCTTCATTGCAGCATCGCCCGACCGCATCGTGAGGAAGGACAACGAAGAGGGCCTTTTGGAGGTGAAGTGTCCGGCTTCGAAGATTGGGCTAACACCAATGGAGGCATGCAAAGACAAGAAGTTCTGCTGCGAAGTTGTGGATGGCTTGGTACGACTGAAGAAGACTCATGCCTACTTCTACCAGGTGCAAGGGCAGATGGCAGTGACCGGACACCAGTGGTGCGATTTTGTTTTTTGGACTAACAACACGACTGTTGCCAATTCGACGCACGTCGAGACCATCGCCTTCGACAAGAAGTTCGTTGATGGAGCACTGCTGCCAGGGCTTATCTACTTCGCCAAGCATGCCCTCTTCCCAGAAGTGGTAACGGGCCGTGTGAGGCGTCGAAGAGCCCTGATAGCTCGCGGCCAGTACGTCTCCTTCAAGAAGTTCTGCAAAGGGTTTTATGTGGTGGAGGACGGTCCCGGACTGAAAAAGAAGCTGCGTAGGCTGGAGTGAAGGAGCGCCTGCATGAAGCCCGAGGCTTTTCCAAGTCACAACGGCTCTTTTCAGAGCCAAATAAATATGCTTGTCAGGGGCAGTGCTTTTGTAGCCACTCCCGTGTCTTTGAGAATGGTGTTTACTGCAGAAAACCAGGACACAGGGTGTGGTGGTTTACAGTTTATTACAATAAATAGAAAACCATTTGCCTATAAACATAAACAAGCAGAGCTAATTCCTTCTTAAACTGTTCAGAGTAAAAAACAACAAAAAGGATTATTTAGCTCCAACTTGTATTAACACATGATTTGTTGAGGTAGCGTGTCAAAGTCATTAACATTACAATCGACTTTGCAGGGAAAAAGACCCGAAGTAGCCAAAACTTCGTTGGCTTATTCAAACTTTAATCTCGCTATTGATGCACAACAGAGAATTCACACTCGCTACTCATGTACTTCCCAAGCAATATATTCAAACACCAAAGATTGGTGCATGAGAGTTTTTCAAATAAGGAAACTCCGGACATAACCCAGCTGAACACAAAAACTCCGAGGCAGTAATCACCCAAACTGCATACTAATCTAAAGCCAAAGAGCAAGTTCTAGATAACGCTGTACAAAGTTGCTAGAATCATAAATGTGAACAGTGATGCACAGCAGATAATTGACGTTATCTATTCATGTACTTCCCACATAGCAGATTTAAGTAAAAATTGATGCACAATATGACCGAACTCAACACACTAACTATGAGGCAGCAATAGCCCGAACTGCATAAGGAAGATGTATAATCATACAAAAAATGCACAGCCCATTAGACATTGAGACCAAAGACCACACACATGAAATAATGAAATGAGGACATCTAATACTTTGATATATCTAATCTAAACTCGTATGCCAATTGCGGATCACAGCCAAATGTGATTAAGGACAATCATGGCAGGCACTAGGGGGGAACGGTGACCAAGTGTGCTACTCTGTTTCATAGTAACTTGGCGAACTGTGGAGCTTACAGCCTCCGCGACCCAATAAGAGCGTCTGAGCGAGGCACATAAAACCACATAGCGGAAGCGTGTGTGTCACTGCACCAAGGAACTGGCTGTTGTCTGCAGGCTGAGAGTTGTGCCACTAAAGCGGTACCAGTAATTTATTTTGGTTTCGTTTTCGACCATAGTTGCCCTGCAAGCGGCTGATTACACGGCTGCAATCACCAACGGCCACGGCACTACAAGAAGAAAAAAAAATCGAACTGAATACAAATGTCGCATTACTTTTTCGGTTTAAATATCATTAAAATTTGTCAATATTTTTTTTTCATTAATTTTTTTATATTTATTCTTGATAAAGATGGAATCACTCAAGTTCAGTTAGCACAAAAAAGAAAGAAATGAAACATTGAACAACTCTTTGGCGACATCTCGGTGCCCCCAAAAACGACGCCTCGGAGGCCTCAACCATGGAGTCTTATCATGTGACTTGCTCCGACGCTCTTATTGGATCATGGGGGCCGCAGCCTCCATAGTTCGCCAAGTTATTGTGAAATGGAGCATAGCATGTCACAGCACAAAGCATGTAAAGCGAAAGCTCTAGTCACAAAGCCCAGAGATCCTAGGTACGATTACCACCCCCGTTAATTTTTATGAGCATCAAACCAGGATGCGTTAGTGTTATTACTACTGCATGATGCACGTTAGAGACCATATGCTAGCGGTCGTACTGCAAAATTTCTCTCATCTAAAGGGGATGTCCCCCAGTGAGAGTTAAGGGCACGAGACAAATAGTGAAAAGAGGGGCGAGATGCATTGTGTTACTGTTCCAGGGTATTATTCCAAAACCGAAGTCGTTGGTGCACGAGAAACAACCTTCTATTACATTAATGTTAAAGGAGCTGTGCAACGATTTTAACGTTGAAAGAATTGGCATCTTCTGCTTTTGATATTGTTCACCTTGTCACAAATGACAGAAAACACACCTCCTTTCGTCGAAATGTTGCGATTCCGCCACGTACTAGCGAGGCAAAACTTAGAATACGTATTCCCCGACCTGCAGCCGCGAGCGGCGGCCATGAGAAACACGCGGCGTGACGTCGATGGGGAGTCTTGTAGAAAGATAGCAAGTTGTGCAAATACCTGCTCGATAAAAGGTAACTTTTCTATAAATGTTGTACTTCCAAAATGCATATAAATGCGTCAAAAATCTGGTATCATCGACAAAACTTTTACTATACGGAATTTTAGTGGCGCCATCTATCCTAGATCCACAAAAGCGTCGGCTCTCTCTGCTACTGCGAACAGCCGCCAGAAGCCGGAGGGGGAGGGGGACAGGGCCGGACGGGTGTGGCCGGACCCAGATGAGACTTTCCTACTTTTACCATATTGTTTGCGCGGCGCCCGCCAGCACGTGGTCGCGAGCGGATGAGTTCTCGCTGCTCACTGATGGCTCTAAAGTGAAAACTTTTCTGGAACCCTGTGGTCCATTTAGAGTACCTCAAAACCATCTCCGACGTGCTGCATTTAAAAACAAAACCCTGGAGTGCAACCACAAGAAGGAAGTTGTTCTAAAATGTTTATCAAGCTGAAGGTTGCCACTGAAGCCGACACATATGTCCTGCTGCTACTCAGCACGGCTGAGTGGCATACGAAAGTTGCTTAAAAAGCAACAAACCTGAAACGCCTCATCTGCAATATCTATCATGGAGATGGGGAAGGGTCGATCAAGGAAGTGAAATTGCTTAATCCTTCCGATTGCGCGTTCAACAACTACACGTGCACTGGCCACCCGCCGGGTGTGTGCCACATCTTCCTCCGGCATCTGAGCTTCGTTCGGCTGCCTGAAACACGGAATGTGCACTTGCACTCCAGGTGGTAGGCTATTAAATTTGAATCCCTTGTCTACCATGATGGCATCGCCCGACTCCAACTGATCCACGAGCCCACTCTCCTCAACTATCATTCTGTCTGACACAGTCCCACCCCACAGTTGTGAAACATGGCAAATGTACCCTTCGGGTGTACATCCAACAACCGCTTTGTAGGTGTTGTAGTGTTTGTAGGGCGAGAAGGTCTGCCTCTGAGCAAGCAACGACGACGGCTTCTGGATACGTACCTCAGTTCCATCAAGGACAGCCCTCGTGTTAGAAAACTTGCTATAATCATATCAGACAAAGGCAATGGGCCAGCTGACAAGTCAAAAGACAAAAACTGAAGTCGTGGTCACATGCAGGTTTCTTGAACCAATGAGCGTAGAGGAAAAAAGGCCCGTTCACGCATCTGCATTTGGGGCAGCCAGAACATTTACAAACTCCAACAATGTTGCAACGACGAGTTGTCATAGCAACGGAGCACCAAGCACCCGGTTCGTTTCTAACAGAGCAAGTAGGATCGGGTCAAACTTCTATGCTGCGTCTCGAGCGACTGGAACGATCGAAAGAAGCGACCAATCACGTTTCAAGAAGAGAGCTGTCACGTGTATGCCCGGCGGCCGCGACCCGCTGGCAAGCACTTTGCCAGAGATCAACGTTGGCGTGGCATGACAGACTGAGTGAAAATTCATTGTGCATGTGGAGTGCTACCGTGGTTGCAGCGGTCTAGACGCATGTCCCGATGGTGTACCAACACGTCCTCGAAGAGACGAGCTATTTGGTGCAACGACAACATGACAGCACTTGGAAGGGAAACATTCTTGCCTACGTGTTTGCTTGTGCCCGTCTGCACTATTGGTGCATAGCATTTTAGAGAAGCAATTATTTTACTTTTCTACTTCAGGGATGTGAAATGATTAGTGCTAGCATTCTTGAATGTTTACTTCACTCATGCAATGTCTAATTCGTTTCTCTTTTTAAGTGTGTCGCAACTACATCTGTTTTCACCTCAAGAGAAAAGCGAGTCTTGCGCATTGTTCATACGCAGGGCAAAGTAGTTCTTACAAGATTTAGTTATCAGAAAAAAAAGCAACGCTTTTGGAGTTTGGAATGTGTACGTCTTGATAAGATAACATACATCTAATCTAGAATGCACCTACATATATCTTAATTCTCTACATAAAGGTGGAAATCAGTAATGCTCCACAAGGCAGCAAACTTTTTTTTACTACGGTTCTTGATGTGAAAACAGGTATAAAATTATATCTGTTCCTAAAAAAAATTGTAGAAGTAGAATGTGGCTAGATTTGTGTCCTCCGCATGGTCTGGTGCTCTGTCGGCATCATCTCAGGATGGTGTGTCACCTAACATTCTTTCACTGGGTCCTGCGAACACTATCTCAAGAAAACAAGGCAAGGGAATAAGCCCCGCATCTAATAATAATAATTTAGTAGCAATGACTGAGTTAGTAGTCGATTCTTACCTTCGGGCAGTGGCTCTACGTTCGAAATACCCGTTGAGATTGAGCACGGGAATGGGTTACCGCCGGAACCTTCTGGAAGGGGGTCGGCAACTGGGAGCTCCTTAGCAAGGGCCAAGGAGGGTACTGCTGCTGCAGAAGGCTGGGCTGCTGGCTGTGATGCTCCCTGCTGCACGCACGCAGAACCAGCACTTCGTACTGGTTCGTTGTTTGAAGATGACATACAATATCAGAGGCGAAACAAGTAAAGCTAGAGTGTGATTATGGTGATTTGCCCACATTCTCAGTTTGGTACAGGCCACTTGGACTTACTGGAAAATGAAACGCGCAAGGTTATGCTTGTATGAGGTTGTTGAGCAAGGACACACACAAACCAGAAGATGCTGTTTAATACTACTAGCTCGCGATTAGATGAGTCCGTCATGTAAAATGGCTACTTGGTGCACTGACTGTTATACAGGCAGATTTCGCGCTTCCATATGCGCACGATCATAAAGTCCAGCCAATACCGATCAACCGTCGTCAGGCAGAGGAGTTAATAAGCGCGAACACAACACAAACGTCGGCGGGCATACATTTCCAAGAACTGGCATTAGAAAAGATCGCTCCAGAAGCGATGAACGCGCGCATCCTTTTTACGAGACGCACATCTTTTTTCTTGTCTTGTTCAGACGGCGAATTCATAACGCGAGTAAAATTCCACAGCGTGAACGCGCCTTTATGACCATCGTCACTTCGTACCTTCAGTGGACCCGCGATGTTTCCATCGCTCGTAGCGATCGAGAGATGGCTGCTGTTTCCGGTGAGCAAAGATAGTCGGCACATGGTCCGGGTGGTGCCTATCCAGCGACGGTTTTCCTGTTTGATAGAGCGGCAATGTAACGATCATGCAACTACCCAACGCTTTGTGTTTGTTTTTCTCAGCTGCGATTGAAGGGGCTTACCAGTGACGAAGTGCGCCCCACATAATCGGGACTGCTGGCTCGGCTCCCAAGCCTTCCTCGGGTCTGTCGGGTGAGCCCGCTTCACCGCGTTTACCCACGCCGCTCTTCGATTTGGGTCGAATTTCGCAGAGGGAAAGCAAAAGAAGCTCTTCCCCTCCCCCTTCCGATGCCAGTTTCGACACCCAAACGCGACACAGTGCGTCGGCATCGTATCGAACGACGTCGGGACGGTGCCGGGAGCCTCAGACTAGCGCAAGATGGAGACTTTGTTTTCCTACGCCACTAATCCGGCCTGGCAACATGTGCCTCGGGTTACCCTCGAACCGGAAACTCGGAAAGTGGTGGATTGACGCCGAGTAGGTTGCAGTGCACCTACGTTCAAAATACCGGACTTGAAAGATGTAATCCGATATATACGCCGACACGGGCACTGCAGACAAACCACTCAAACACAAAACCGAGAAGGAAGGGATCCGTGAAGATTCACCACGATGTAGCACAAGCTGTCATTTGCCCAACAGAACACTGAACGCATCACAAAAATGTCTTGGGCTTCTTTGAAGAAATCGCTTGTTGCCGTCATACGGGTAGGACTTTTCGATCGGGATACAAATCCATAGCAGCCCCGCGGGCCGCACGACACGCAAAATTAGGTCCGCAAGCAGCCTCATTCCGGGATTGGCAGCGGCTAATGCGTCATCCGTCAAACCACGTGATCACGCTCCTTTCGTTACATGCGCACAGAGAGCGGAGTGAAGCGATAAAAAGTCTACGGTTGATTGGTCCGCCGAGTCCGCACCTTCTACAAAGTTTTTGGCTTAGGGAGAGAGAGAAAACAGAAAAATTGAAAAGCAGAGCTCCTTCAAGGCCAGAGCGGGGGTGCGATCACAAAGACTAATCTTCAGGGGCATACCAACAATGAACACAGCGAGAGAATGTGTCACTTATATCCTGTTGACAGTTCGAGCCAAGGTTGATAGTGCAGTGGATGCTATGTGTGGCCTTTGGCTTAAAGGGACACTGACAGGGTATTTATGCTCGCCGAGGTTTTTAGTTGTACGTGACATATGAGAGCTCAACTACCCAGAACAGAATTTGCGGCTCGAATTCGGTTTCTTTCCGCCCGAAAACCGCCGATCAAGAACTGGCCGGTTCGAGTCTCGCTCACTCTCTTTTTCGCGGTCACGGGCCGTTTTCTAAGGTATCGATGCGACCACCAAATTTAATCAAAGTCGTGGGTCACTGAAGGGACACACTCAATATTAAAAATAGAAAAAAAATATGAAACCCATTTTTTGTGGCTTCTAAAAAGCTGTAAATACGCTGATTGAAAAAAAAAAAAAAAGTTCCACCATAGCCTCCTTTATACGGAGAAAGCCTGGCACATCGACGACGGAGCCATAGAGCGCGCGGCCGCAGGAAAAAGGAGAGAAGGAGCGCGCCGAACGGTGACCAATATGGTAGCGCAGAGCAGAAAGGGCAGACCTAGACAGCGAGCGCTCCTTCTCTCCTTTTTCCTGCGGCCGCGCGCTCTATGGCTCCGTCGTGAGCGGCCGCTCCCCGAACCACGCTTGTTTTTGTGTTTTCGCCACCGTCGTTTTCGTACTCCGGGATAAACGGGCGCGGCGATTCGAAAGGGCGCAGGGAGAAACGGGAAAGGGTGGACGTTGAGCTTCTCCTCTCCACGATAGCAACAAGAAAAGAGAAAAAAAAAAAAAAGATTGTTTTTGCGTTTGGCCGCTCGCTCTTTTGTGGCGCTAGCGGGCAAGGTTCTCTCTAGGGAGGCTGTAGTGAGGGTGGGCGCAACTCAAAACCTGGAGAGCGTTTGCAATTTAATGGCGGCGCCAGAGGGAGAGGACTCGAGAAAGGATATGCGCCAGTGTTGCCTGCACGAGAGCAGGCGCCCGCTCTGTTGCAACTCTGTTGCTCCATCCGCCTTTCCTCCTCTCGCCTCCCATTGCAAGCAACGAGCGCCTTGGCGCAGCCTCTCTCGCTTCCTTCTCGCTCCGAGAATTGCAAACGTCGAGCGGAGAAAGCAAAGTTGCCAGACAAGCAGCAACGTCCAAGATGGCGGAATTTACCATTTTTCGCGTTAAAAAAAAATACTTAACCTATCGCAACAAAACTGGTGGCTATGGAAAAGTAATCATTTATACCTTGTGTAAAATATTCAAGCACCTTAATGAGCTTTTATGACCCGAGTTAGGAAAGAAAACGACCCTTTGCCCCATAGACTCCCAGCAAAATTTAGCAATTAAATGGCGTCCATGTCCCGTGATCGCCGATCTAGCAGTTGCACCCACCCTCACTTGAGCCTCCCTAGTTCTCTCCGCTCCCGTTTCTCCGCCCCTCCTTTCCCATTTACGGCGGCCGTCTTTTCACGCAACGCGCCAGGCTTTCTCCGTATAGAGGAGGCTATGGTTCCACAGACAACCGGAAGCATCCTGTGCGTTCGTCGTTTCGCGTATCGTGGGACTCGCGGGGACGGCGATGGCAGCGGACGACGGGCGTGGGACCTCTATTTCAGAACTGTCGTTCGCGGTACCGGCGAATTCTGTCTACCGTTAAAAGAGAAATTTGGGACTGATCAAAAGAATTGGTATTCATCCCGTACGACACGCCCGGCCACCAAGCCGATTTGCACGAAGACGTCGCCGAGCCGTCGCTCCCTTCTCGTGGCTGAAGACATCGCTCGCGCAAACGTCAAGCACGACGTGTCTACCTCGAGTTGAATATGCACGCGTACGATTTCTTTACTAGGTGCGAATGTCCCCAAAGCGTGGTGCTTCCCGACTTCGACCCGGGAGTGCTTTCACTAAAGAAAAATCGACAGCAAACTTTCCAACTTAGTTTACCGGCTGAATTATTACTAAGGAAAGAGATCCACCAGATAGAGATGCCCCAGTAGCTAAGTGGGAAAGACCTCCGGATCACACGCGGTTGGACCGGGTTCGATACCCCGTGGAACTATTTTTTTTTTTTTTTCAAACATTTTTTGATGTTTACATATCTTTTTCTTTTTTTTTACAATCATCACTGAAGAAACAAACAAAAAAATAACAAACAAATGTTGTGGACGATACTTCGCTGAATTAAATGGTATGGGATTTCCGTTTTGACACCTGCGAACTTAATATAATCACTTTCCACAAAATGCAAGGAGCATATCAATCAGGTTGCGTCCGCTTTCCGAGGTGCCCGTATATGTTCTACGGGAATTGCAGCCAGCCATTGGTCCCGATCCGGTTGATCTTTCGGAAACTTTGTCCCACATTGCCACTTTTTTTCGGATGCAGGACATGTGAGCCAGCTCTTCACGCTAAATCTTGGGTGTATTCTTTTCAGAGCCGATCATGGAAATTCACCACGGGCACTCACTACTCATCTCCAACTCCTCAATGTACAAAACAACTCATCTTGGACTACAGAACAACGAGCGGAACAA